AGTTTCGAAAAAAAAGTGTCTTGGATAGGAATCGGCAATCTTTCACGTTTAATATACAGGGTGTCCTCAGATAAACTGACACATTTTGGTAGATAAATATCTCGAAAACGAGAAACGATAACGCGATGCGGTTTGTTCTGGGAGAATAAGGATTTTTTAAAGTTTTTTCTCACACTATTGCCGATTTCAAAAAATCGCATGTCTGTAAAACCAAATTTCAGCAAATTTTGGGATTCGGCAATACTGTAAAAAAAAAACTTAAAATATCCTTATTCTACCGGAAAAAACCGCATCTCGTTATCTTTTCTCGTTTTCGAGATATTTACCTCCAAAATGTGCAAGTTCATCTATAAGGACACCCTGACCTGCAAAATGTCTCAGCTTATCTAAGGACACCCTGTATTTGTTTAAATACACAGGGTCCATACATATTCTTATCAAGAATATGTCTTATCTCAGCACCATTGTTTTTGGAACCACTACAATGGGATTCTGCCAATCAGTAGGTTCGCTCACAGGTACAATAATATTATCGCGTGCCATATCAATAATTTTTTGTCTAACTTTGTCTCTTGATTCAAGAGGAATATTTCGAGTCTCACATGGAAAAGGCAATGCATCATTAGTTGAAATAATTTTAAAAAGGTTATCTAAAGTCTGTTTTTTTTTCAAAGATAATTCCCCAAGTCCTAAATTTAGTAACTATGTTGGCAATACAAGCCTTTTCTACATAAAAAATTTGAAAGCCTTGACAATTTTACATTGTATTGCCAACCTAATGTCATTTTGACTTTTATTTTTTTAAAAAAAAACGCACTTTACCTTCCCGACTCCACAGAAATAGTATATTACATACGGAGGTGAGAAGTGTTTCATTACTGTCGAGTCTCATTTAACTATAATCTCGAGACAGGAATGAAACCTTCTACCGAGGTTTGTATACTATTTAATTTATAACAAATAGAACCATCACAATTTTTGACTTAATACTAAATAAAAATTTAAAAAAATTTGTTGACAAGTTCTGACTTATCTAAAAAAAACATTTGACATGTAGGACTTGTCCAGCTAATAACCCTAGAATAGAGTTTGAGATATTGGTGTTCAAAATATTAAAACGCATATTTTCGTTACACTCTAGTATTGACAGTTAAGCACGATTTGCCCAATATTGTCTATTTTATGTCGCGTATAACTTGAGAGATTGCTAGAGGCAGTCTGTAGGTCACTGAAATCGATATTTAATTTCAGAAGTCACCATGATTGAGTATTTTTACTGGGCTACCAGTGTGCACTTTAAGATTTATTTTAGTACCATTGTTTATTTTAATTGTCTCAAACCATTCTATAGATTCGACACAAGAAGAATTATTGTTATTTATTATTGTCCAGACAACCTGAGTCATGTGATTCACCATCAGAGTCATCATTTATTTCATGCACAGAGTTTTTATTTGGACAAAATCGACGGTAATGACCTTTCTGGTGAATGAGCGATATCTAAAAAATGCAGGACACTTATTCCTATCATGTTGAAGCCCTCCCATTTTGCAAGGAAACTGTTCACCTTTTTGCTGCTGTTGACCTGAGTTTTGGCCTCTATTTCACCCCACTTGATAAAATTTTCCTCGGGAGTTGAAGCTGCTGCTTTCACTAACATCTGCGGTATATCCTGTATTACCTGAGAACTGTGCTCTATCAGAATGTCCCTGTCTATCACCAAAACTCTTTATGACACTTACTTCTTTAGTAATCTCACGTTGAGTCACCATACTGCTCTCCATGGACCTGCACACATCTATTACTTAGCGAATGGCACTTTACGAAAACGTAACGCAACGTAAGTCAACTCAATGTACCATAAATTCAATAATTGAGAATATAAGGTCAAAATCCCTCAAAGGCGAAGACAAAATTCAACTTCTTCAGAGAAGCCTTTTTCTCGGCACTAACAAATGTGAAAGAAAACTACATAAAATTAATTACTCTTTGTTTCACGAGGGTTTGTACTTTTGACAAATTTGCCTTCCTTTTTTAACAAATAAAATTTGACTGACATAAATTTTATTTGTTAAAAAATGATGGCAAATGGGATAGGAAAAAAACCCTCGTGAAATCCTAAATTTGAAGAATAGAAATGAGGCAAAGTAACGACAGATGTCAAAAAAATCGGGTAAAATTTTAAGTACCAAAAATTGCACACAACAATACAATGGACGCGTTCTAAGTGACTAAGCTGCTGAACTGAGCAGGAAAAGGCTCACACTCAACAGTTGTGAGCGCTTGGAACGCTCCGCTTGATTTTTCGGCACATACTGTCAGTTGTCCCCACAGCTTGTTTTTACATGTTTTCGGTACGGTAATTTATTTTATTATTTGTAATTTCTTTGGTTTGGTGCCACTTTTATGCTGTTGAAGAGCTGTTAGAATGGAGGATAGTTTTAAACAACTTATTTCAGCCTGCTAATTAGTGGGTTTCCGGTCTCCCTAGAGTTCTAGCCATAAGAAATTATGATTATAATGAAGAAGTGATTCCACATTATACACCCGGACGACTTTAAAAACTGCCAAAAACCAAGAACTTAAAATGAGCTTATGTCCAGAAAAACAAAAACAGCAGCTGTGCGCATGTCACCCATTTTGACGGTGGTGAGCGAAAAACTTCTCCGCTAAGCGAAATCGCCAGTCGCTGACACTGAGCGTTCAAGGTTACGGCATTTGGAACGTTACGCTCACTAAGCGGTCTCGACGGTGTCGCCCTTGGAACGCACCCATTGACAACAGTTGACGAATAATGATAACAACAGCAAATAATTAACCACAAGATTTCAACAATCATATTTTGGGAAATACGACTGTGATACGACAATGAATAAGCAATTCGTATTGCATAACGTAAACGCTTACAAAGGAGTCGATAATCCCAAAACCATTAGATATACTAATCGAAATGCCAATTGACAAAAATGAACGACATTTATGCCGTCAGCTGGCACACCAATCATGAGTGACATGACTTAAGTATCACTATAAAATAGAGAGCAACTCGGTGGTTTATGGAATCGGATTCCGGAACTAAATCTTGTACTGAGTTCAGCAACCGAACAGAGTACGTGCAGCGTGCAGTACACACTTCGGGAACGGACCATCATTTGGAAAACCTAACCCAAGAATAAGAAATATTTGATTAGTTTACATGAAAATTTAATCGAAAATTAGAAATAAAATATTGATTATAATCGAGGAAAATCATTAGTCGTCAACAAGAACTACTTACAAGTGAAAATAGAATTTAAATAATAAAGATTAGAAAATTTACAAATGCAACTCCTGTGATTATTGTTTAATTTTATAAAGGAAAAATGTGAGCAAAGTCTAATAAAATCAGAGAAAAATTCGAAATTTGTAGGAATTTTGAATGGAAAACTAAAAATAAGTGTGAAATATTTAGTTAAAGGCAATTTTGGCACGTCACAAATGATTTTCCGGCAATTTATGATTTTATATTCAGGTTCAGGAACCTCGTGCTTATTATTTGAGAGTAGGGAAGCTAATTTCTGGGAGCTTTTATAGCTTCCGGCATTTTCGTTGCGGCATGTGGTGATTTAGTTTAGCAATCTGTTGTATTGATGGGTTGAGACAAGACTGTGGCAAATTCTTCAATAATTATTTATTATTTTAATTTGCATTTAGAAAACTTTTCAATATTCAAGTAATTTCTACCAATGCAAATTTAAATTATTTTCAGTTTAATACTAGTAAATTATAATGTCTCTTCAAATATTGGAGATTTAATTAAAATTAGATTATTGGATTCAATTTAGTTTATAACAATATCTGGGAAAAACTGCTTCGTGATTAATCCTGATTTAAATAACTCTTGAAACTACTTGGCATTGAATTCAGAATATTGTGCAGGTACGTCTTATAAAATTACTAATTCCAACACTTTCCAGAAACTTTTTGATAGCTACTTTATATTGAAAAATTTCTTTTGAATTTTATTTAATTGCACCTCAATTTTCTTTTTTCATAAAACTTTCTTTTTGCATTTTAAGTCCCTGTAAATTAATGCTCCATTTTTGGGTCCTTAGAATTGGTTATCTACTTCTTAGTTTGGTAAATGAGAATTTTAATATTTTTCGGAATTTTTTTCACACAATAATGTTACTTTCTTTAGAGAATATTTTAGATTTCCGATAACTCATTTGTATATGGAATAGAGACATATCCTTTTGAAGTTTATTGATTTTAGTTTCAATTGGTCATGGTATTTGTAAGTTCGTTTTCTAATAAACCGGTCATATCAATTGTGTCAAAACCTATTCGAACAAGGATCATCGCATCCCATTTGGTTTGAGATTTCACGTCTAAATTGAGAGAAAGTGAGGGCAATCGAATTTTACGATCTGTTAAATCAATGATGACACTGATTCACTGGTTGGTTTGAGAAGAATATCCTCTCGACCCAGCATTAATCGTCTCACTTCACAAAATGTTCATTAAAATAAATCATGTTTTTGGTCAGTGAATAGTAATTCGCCTCAATTAAATTCGTTTCTAAATTTTATATTGCCAGGGGCCGTACCTACTTTTAATTAATTTTGAAGCTTAATCCTATTAGCTAACCAAAATATAATTGAAAATTAATAATTCATACCTACAGCTTTTTAATTCTATATTAGCGGAAATTGATTTTATACCTAATTTTAATTTGGATAAGCTTGCAATATCAAACTAGAAATTAATACCTATATGGCAGATTGCAATAAGAGTTTTAAAACTTTCTGTGAAAAATCAATGGATGTTAAATTAAACGAAAAAAATTGAACCTTTTGAAACGTGTATCAAAGTAAGGCGCAGTCGAAAACATCCAATTTCTTGAACAAAAAATAGAGTAGGTAGCACTGGGTAGCTTAGAAAAAAAAACTCTTGGGTCTCTTCTAGATTTATCAAACATTGTTATTATACCAGTGATTTAATTCTTATTTTTTTTGCAGCGCTTGCCAAATTGATGCTTATTCGCCCCTGAAGTTTTGCTACTGGTAAGTACTAATCATCACTATTTTAAAGCCACAATGATTTGTTTTAATTATTAGGCAAATTATGATACAGTACTAATAATACCTAATTACCCACCTATAATTCTGCTTTGCCTTATAATATATACAGACATCTCAGGTACACACGTAGCCTCGATTGCATAGTTTTCGAAAGTCCATGCAAATACAACATGCAATAATCCAAAACATGTATGGTGGTAACCAGCACATATTGTACACAGACAGTTAAGTGGAGGAGCTCTTTACCGAAAGTTTGCCTCATATAAGGACTCCGTTTATATAATTTAAGCTCAACCAAAGCGCGGCTGGGTCAATATCAACCACGATGTAGGAGCAAGAAACTTCCGAAATATAAAGCAAACCCCACAGGCATTATCTTATTGTCTTAGTTCAACATTATGAGGGTGTTCGTTTTACTTTGGTTACTACATAAGCGATAAATTAGCTTTTTTGTTTTTAGTATTATGGTTGAAGAAAAAAATATAATATTTCATTTAAATGGGTACCTATAAAACTCTACTACTTAACGTTAATATTATGCAAACACCTCAACTGTAGTGTATATACAGATGATGTCATAGAGGCATACTACGATCAAGTTCAAACTGCTCTTAGCTTTATGAAAAAGTCAGAAATTTCCATCGTCATGGTTAACTTCAACGCGAAACTATAAGACTCTCAAGGAGTATACATTGACGTAACGTTCGGTATATTAGCGTTGAGATGGCCCAAAATCACCGAATTTCAAAATAACATGATAAACCAAGAAAAAATTAGAAGGTTTGGATGACCAACGAGATCTCGAATTTGATGGATAAAAGTCGAATTAAAAAGGGCAACGCGAATAAAGAAATCAAACACAATATAAAGTTGGCAAGACAAAAATGGATAACACAGCAATGTCCAGAAATAGAATATCTAGATGGTAAGCATTAGACTTTTGATTGGCACAAGCGAATGAAGGATGCGGCCGAATTATTTTATAGAATACAAGCCCTATGGACAACCAAGGCAAAATTATACATGATATCAACACTGAGAAAAAAAAAACACAAATATAACGAAAAGGATATCAAGCCAGTGAATCTCGTCATTAATATTGAGCCAGTGAACGGATTTATTAATATTATGAGAAGCTGTTTGTTAAATAGATAAAAAAAACGAAATTGCTACTTCAACGGATATGTTCATTGGTCCAATCTTTAAATATTGGTGTAACTTCATAGAAAATCTCTTTAGGGATAATCGGCATAAACACAATAACACACAAAGTACAACACGCAATATTTTCAGTTAAGACCGGAAAAGCGGTAGGGCAAGACGAAGTATACCAGGTGTCCCACTAAGGTCGGCCAGGTACGATATTATGGAAACCATAGACCGTACGGCTTCGGGATTTTTTTTTCTTCACTAAATCGGCCAAGAGAAATTGATGGAAATAATTTTCAAGTTTCTAGGATGACCGCTAGGGGGCGCAATTACGATGATATAGCTAAAAATTCAACTTTTCTCAATAAATCGCTATATTAAGATACTGTTTTAACAACAGAAATCAAAAGTTCATTAATTTTTGCGCCAGTTTGGTTATTAGGCTTTTTTTCGTATCTTCAGTAATAAGGGTGGGGAAAGCTGGTGAAATTTTTTTTTAGAAATTGCTGTATCTTCCATACCCCTCATTCAAACTCATTCAATTTGGGTTTATTTGGAAGAGAATTTCATTGGTATTAAGAACACCACTTCGTTCGAGGTCGATAGTTCCCACCGCGTCTGCTAGAGGGCGCTGTTTATTCAAGATCCAGTTTTTCCTAATTTTCATGAAAAATCCAAATGGCATAATATTATTTTTGTATTGCTGTGCTTTAAGCAAAAAAATATCTACATTTTGGCGCAAACCGCAATTCAATATCTGCATTCATTTTCAAGTTACGTGAGGTCTATGGTCTCCATAATATTGTACCTGGCCGACCTTAGTGGGACACCCTGTATACGGAAGTTTTGAAGGTAATGAAAAACGAAGACACGCTGAAAACATTGGTCAAACTTTTTAACTGGATTTGTCGCAGCGGTAAAATTCCAACTGACTGGCTGAAATCAATATATTGTTACACTGCCTGAAGCATCCACCAGAAAAGTGTAGTGTTCACCGCCTAATCAGCCTAATGAGTCATATGATGAAAATATTTTTAAAGATTATCCAAAAAAGAATTTATGGAAAATGCGAATCTTTCATGAGAAACACAGTTTGAATTTCGTGGAGGGTTTGTGTAATATGTTATACTATATCCTGTTCACAATCCGATGTCCACAGGTGCAGGTAAATTTATCACCTTTCCCTATCAAATAGCATTGAAAGGTGATTTTACCTATACCTACCTGTGGACATCGGATTGTGAACGGATAATAACTATTAGGGTTTTCAGAACGATAATAATTTTTGTTTTATGTTAAACATAGTCTGCTGCTTGAATATAGTCAATTCTATTGAAATTTTTGCGCATAGTTTTCGATATCACCCATAATAATACAAGGCCAGTAGATTGCATTCATAGCCCAAACACGCATTAACACCTTGATGTGCTTTATGAAAATATCGTGAAAATTCTAATTGTAAAGATTTAAGGATAGTGAGTTTCCTTGCTTGCTTTGGGGCTATTCATTAATGATATTGTATAATTTAATTATTTTCAAATTATCAATAGTAATATGACGAGTGCAATGGAAATTATCGATAATTTTTGGGAATTTTGCCCGAATCCATCTTGTTACCCCTTTTGTTAATGAATTAACCAGAGGCCCATAATATACTCGGCTTGCAGAGCGAAAAAATATTAGGTGAGGGTTGATAGTTATATAAGTAATAATAAGTACAGTATGGCAAGGGCGCCACAGAATTAAAAAAAAAAAAATTATAAAATTGCATAAAATATGGAATGTGGAAATTCAGAAACACACGTATAAAATAATCAGCAAATGGTAATAGGCAATTCTGAAAAAGAAATAAATAATGCACACAACTCAACTCTCGACCTATGGGTAAACCAATAAAACAATTAAGTAAAATTTCAAATTAAAACAGTATATATTTAACAGTCAGTAAAAAATTCAGTATTGAATTGTTCCAAAATATAATAGCTTTTTATATAACAAGTACATAAAGTAAGGCTTTATTGTACGAATAATTTTATGGCCGAGCGAGCTTGCGAGCGAGGCTATTAAATAATGAATCAATAAAGCCTGTTCATGTAAGCGTTATATGTATACATGATTTTATGTACGATTACGACTGGTTTTTATTAAAAATTTAAAAAATTGAATGAAAAAATTCAAATTCGAGTATACCTGTTTCACCTTGGCAGGTTGTCAGGTAGTTCAGGTAGGCGATAAAGTAGCACTTTATTTTACAGTGAAATAAAGTGCTACTTTATTGACGCAAAACTGTTCTATAAATAGCACTTTATTGGTCAAGGTGGTAGACGCTTTTTACTCATTGGGCGTCGACCGGTGAGATACCACCATGCCAGGATTGAGTAGCGCTAAGTGGTATCACCACGTTCCGCTACTGCGCTGGCAGTCCGGTTCCAACAATGAGTAACAGATAGCATGATGGCGCCTCCAGGATCAAAATATTCCGGAGGTAAAATACCCGACCACTCGGATCTCCGGGCGTCGGGTGATCCTGGGGGTCCTTCATGCAAAGATATAAAGAGAAGATCAAAAACTCAACTCAGAATTGATTTTATCAATATAAGAGGAATAAGTACAAATATGAATTCAGTTCACCAACATCTTGAAGAACAAAGACCTGACATCCTTGTTCTCACTGAAACTAAAATCAGTTCTGCAACACCTATTTTGAACTATCTTTATCCCGGCTATTACCTACACCACCGATTTCGACATAATTTTGCGATCTGTGTGTACATTAAAAATGACCTTTCATGTCATCGAGAGGAGAAGCTAGAACCAGCGAACCTTGATATCATATGGCTAAAATTCACCTCAAAGTCATCGACCAAGTTTATCTGCTGCCTCTACCGACCGCCAAGTAACACCGATTACCAAAACTTTTTCGCGACATTATCCGAAAGCTGTGATAGTATACAGTCAAACTATCCACAGGCGGAAATTATCTTTTTAGGCGATTTCAACGTCCACAATATACCCTGGCTGAAACACCACAACAAAACAGATAACGAAGGCAGAGAAGCAGAAGCTTTTGCCATAAGTTGTGGTCTAACGCAGCTTGTCGATGAACCTACCCGTATCTCAGAAAGGGGCGAATTTGCAGCGCTTTTAGACTTGTTCCTAACCACCAATCCTGACTCGTACACAATTCAAGTAGATGCTCCACTTGGTTCGTCCGATCATGAACTTATAATAACAAAGTGCGAAATGCTCATCCCACCAAGCCTACAACCACTTCCTCGTAAAATGTGGCACTATAAATCGGCAAAATGGAATGACCTAAAACAGTATTACCTGGATTTTCCATGGCAAGAGGTTTGCTTTAAAACAGCTGATCCCACTATTTGCTGTAATGAAATAACACAAGTAATCTTATCTGGAATGGACGCATATATCCCACATACAACTAAACGTAGAGCTAATGCAAAACCTTGGTTCAACAGCCAGTGTCAAACGGCTGTACAGAAAAAACACGGAGCATATAACCTTTGGAAACGACAACAAACCGCTCAAAACCACACAGAATTTATAGAAGCCAGAAATAGTTGCAAAATTACTATTGACTCCGCTAAAGAAACATACAATCAAAGAATAAAAAACAGGTTGCTGAATTGTCCAAGTAGTTCTAGGTCTTTTTGGTCTCTTGCAAAAGCTGTTGGATCTAACTTCACCAAGTCATCCATACCACCACTTACAGATAAAAATAATCACTTAGCCACAACATCAGAGGAAAAAGCCAATATGCTTGCCCAAATGTTTTCCTCCAACTCCAACCTAACAGTGCCAAACGGAAAAAC